GCAGAATAATTTATTTCTGGACTCAGAATTATGTTGCTCACACTGAATTCAACTTTTCTTAGTTCTTCATATAATAATGAATTTTGCTCACGTCAGACAAGCTTTTAAGAAAGCTAATACTTGTACAGGTCTATAAATAAATAAGAAACCACTGCAGCATAAGATGCATGGCTAGTGTAGGATACACTTCATGAAATCAAACTGTACGTGTGATAGTCTTGGTCTATCATGCGCGTATCCAGATTCGGGGTGGGGGTCGGGGGGTCCCGACCCTCCAGAAATTTGCAGAGTTTTTTAAAGTATATATTGAAGCAAATAAAGAATGACTTTGGAGCAAGTATGGGAAATGGATTTTACATTGTTTTTTGATTTTCTTTTCTTTTTTCTTTTTTTCTTTTAATTCTTATTTTGTCAAAACATTTTCTGGGTTTGATACGTTAAGGAAAGGAGATAAGTTTTTTTTTTTTTTTTTTGTTTTTTTTTCAACTTGTCAAGAAATTTCTGGGTTGGAAATTTTTTAACTTGGGTTGTCCTTCCCTAAAAGAAATTGCTGAATAATTCCTCATAATTTCTTCTCTTTTTTTTTTTTTATTGCAAACATATGTTAATTGTCTTCTGATATCAGATATCTTTGGCTTAGGAAGAAGAAAAATGGGGGGGGGGGGCAAAAATTTGAATACTTGTGATTTATAATGTAATGTCATAATGTCATATTTCCCGGCTCAAAGACAAGATTTGACGGTATACAAAAAGAATATGGCTTTAACATATTTGTATTGAGAAATGGATGAGGAACTTATATTATTCGTAATTTAGTCATGTATCGTGAACAGGAAATTGCTTTGGATATGGGGCGGGATCAATTCATAAACTTTTTGTAGGTTTTTTCGTATTATACTCATTTTATTGATTATTTTTCAAATTTATAAATTATATATATATATATATATATATATATATATATATATATATATATATATATATATATATATATATATATATATATATATATATATATATATAAAATTAGAATATAGCGTATAACCTGGGTTGCCTACGTCACAATGACTTAAATTACGTCAAAAACGTATCAATCCGCTTGACGTTACATTTAAAATACGTACAATTTGAAGGCGTTTTTGAAGGAAAAATTGTCTTATTTTTTACATTTAATGATGGAAAATTAAATTATAAGGAATGAATTTAATAGCTACCCAAGTTATACTGGTATAACCTGGGTTTGGACAGTTTACGCTTTTTTATAAACCGCTTCGTGGATTATAATGCGTAAACTGCCCCAATCCAGGTAATACCAGTATAACTTGGGTAGCTATTAACTTCATTCCTTATATATATATATATATATATATATATATATATATATATATATATATATATATATATATATATATATATATATATATTGTTTTCATTTTTTTAATTTGCACTCCTTTGAACAGTGGGGTTTTCCCAGGTCTATTTTTATTTGTGGTTCATGGACGCCATTTAGTACTATATGTTGAATACAAACTAACAAAGAACGACTCAAAGTAAGCAATTTTCCTTAAACGTTTAGTATCTAAAAAAAGTATGTAAAATGTCATCGACTTATCAAACTTATGCTTACGTAGATAAAGTATAAAAAAATAACATCTTAAGTTTTAAAACTCAAACTGGCAGGATATCTTTATCAAAACGAAAGTAGAAACAATGTATAAAATTTCTAAAGGTGAAAACAGGCATCCACAATCTAGCTAGACTGCGATGCAGGGACCTGTTTTACAAAAGAATTTAATCAAGATAAGACCAACAATTTTAGTAATTTTAACATCGTGCCTCCAATACTTATACTCTAGAAATCAATTACTCTCTAATAATAGATCTAGATTTCCAAATTCTTTAAAAATACAATTATAAACATTTATCAAATTGATGTTAAAAAAACAATATTTATCAAAAACATATTTTCTAGATCTTAGTCATAAGTTCTTTTGTAAAACGGGGCCCATGTATGTTCGTGGGAACACGGCCGAAGGGGTGTGTGTCAATAATTAATTTTGCCGATATATCGTACATGTATAGAAAACACGATATGCTCCACAAGACCTTGTCAAGGAATTTTTGTTTGGTAGGACCCCCCCCCCCACTAATATTGCTTCCGAGTACAGGCGGTGGATCATCAGTACAGGATTTCCACTGACTTTGGGATGGGGTGGAACACCGTAACTTAATTTTTAAATGTCTTATGAACTAAACTCCAACAAAAATTTACTATAGTTAACTATAGTTAACCATAGTTAACTTTGATTCTTTCTATTAAATTTACTCTAGAACTTTTTTTAAAGATTTCAAAGCTTGATTTTTTTTAAATTCGATAACAGTGATGTAAAATTTTGAAATCAGGTGTGAATAAACAAGGAATACTTCCATTTAGTATACAAAATGTGAATGTATGAATTGGATGACATAAAAGATAACAATCTGAAATCCATAGTAAAAATATTTTGATTTACTATAGTAAGTAAAAAACTTTGATTTACTATCGTAAAAACTTTGATACTATAGTAAACTATAGCTAACCATAGTATTTTTTTGTTATTGTTTACCTAAGTTTTAAAGTAGAAGTAAGTAACTATCTAAATCATATAGATAATAAACGAATGAAATAGTACAATTATCATTTTATATCCTTCCCATCGGACACACAGTAAATTGCATATTTTGTTAAAAAGAATTAATACATGTATATCTTTTAATTCAGGAATCCATCGGGTTTTTTTAATGTTTTATTAAATATTATGCAATTACGGACTCTTTTGGTGGTGAATATTGATATTTTTTCTGGTAAATGTCAAACCATATTCACCACCTTAAGAGTCCATAATTGTTTTATTATATAATCCTGATTCAAATGGGATTACATAAGACAATATAGGTCGGCAAATAAAGGAGCACAATATGTTTCCTTCGAAATTCCAAAAGCTTGTTGAAAAACCTGATCTCCGAATAGTTCGTACAATTATATGTACAAAAATATGTACAATTTCTAAAACGAGGTAAATTATTCACAAACAAGTTGATGAAACAAGAATATCAGCAGTCTCGTTTAAAGTCATCATTTCGTAAGTTCTATGGTCGATACAATGACTTTGTCAGCAAATACAATTTATCATTGAGTCAAATGCTAACTGAAGTTTCTCATACTAATTGTTAGGCCATTATTTACACACTGATTTTTCGACGGATTTTTCCGTTATTTCCCGATCATGACAAGGAGCACACGGCGGGTGTGACCGGTCAGCAGGGGATGCTCACTCCTCCATGGCATCTGATCCCACCTCTGATGTTTTGGGGGTGTTTGCTTTGCACTCATTTTGTAATGTTTAATGGACTTTTAAGCTTGAACACTGTTCGTTATCTCCATATATTTCATTCGTAATTGTTGTCAATGAGGAACACTAGCATCCTTTTAATGTCAACTTCAGAGTAGAATCAGAGTGATTTAGCGAAGTATTTTTGTTGATGACTAATCACAAGATACGAAAATTTCCCAGTTCCATTTTTACCGAAGAAACAGTTGTCTATGATAGCAAAAAGCAAAGTTTTTAATTTATTATAAAGACATACTAGTAGTTACATGTATCTTATTATAACTAGTGTCTTGTTGAAACGAATTTATTATCTATTTATTACGAAATAATAAAAGATATATTTCAAGTTGATTTAAAAAGTGAAGAACGTCAGGCTTTGGAATTTAAGATGTGGAATTTCTCGAATTTGTTATGTAGAACTTTAAATACACCAAACTCTAACCATTTTGTCTCCAGAGCACCCAAGTTCTCATACGATAAAGAATGTGCCTTCTAGTTTACAGATAAGTTCTGTCTTCGGAAAAAAGTATACACAGTGTAAGTTTTCGTCTCAGAGTTAATTTGCTAATTAAAATATGGTCATTGATTGCAAATCAACTCAAGATTTCATCATAGTTAAACCCTAGCGCAAAATAAATCTTAATCTATTTATCAACTGATTTCAAATTCGAGTGGCAATCAATACCAATCAAAATCACTTAAGGTAATACACAACAGACAGGCCAAATTATTTATCAGGGACGTATATACTTAGTATATAGGTCCCTGGTTTTATATTTTGTTCTACGAAACAGAACATTATCTACTTTATACGACTTATAAGCGAGTTTATAGGGTGCGTTTGATATAAAAGAAACCTACTCTCCCATTTTTTCAAATACAGTGTAACAAACCTCTCTAAGGAGAATGTGAAATCATACATTCGTCATTAGAATGTTAAAAAATTACCATTTAATTTGATATATAACATTAATGTTTGTGAATGAAGGGACATAAATCTCAGTTAAATATGTTGTAATTAATATGTTAAGTAAAAGTAGAGCATGCATAGCTTGTGAATATCCAATCAATACGTAAACATGCTACACTTTAAATGGATCTTTTAAAAGAAAATAAATGTTTAAAATTTTAAGAAAATATAACACAGCATATTTGAAATGACATGGAAGTCGGAATATTTCAATATGAAGAAAATATATTTTGAAGTTTAAAGAAGATTCAATGACGAAAAAATAAAATATGTAATCGGTAAATGGCATTATGACCTCTAATCTCAAAATATGACCTTTAACTTTAAATATGCACAAAGATTGAAGACTATTTATATATGTATCCTAATACCGATAACAGTTCTCTACTAGCTCTAAAAGAAACAAAAGTTTCCCATGAAATAATGTAGAGCACGATTTTGTATTTTTTATCGGTACAATGAAAAGAACATGTATCCCCATTTCAGAATGCAAGAATTATACAGTTTGTGAATGAATTCTTGAGATTCTTCTATGCCTTGTAATTGTTCGTTTCCAAAATCCATCAAATTTTCATCCATGTTCAGTATATCGTACTATTGACTAAATTGATTCTGATAGTATTCTGCTTTTATAATCTAATGAATCATTACAGAATTAAAGGAGGACAGTTTTTGTGACTTTCGGTGAACAATCATGCCAGTAGACAAAAAGAAAATGAAAGACCTCCACATCAATCTCATATCAACCATAGCCCTAGACTACCTCGATCCCTCCATTAATAGTGGACACGATCACCAGAGGTTTTTGTTGAACTGCAGACGGTATCTTAAAACACCAAGAGAACAATCTATAAGAGATGTTGTCAAAGTATTGGATTGTTTTGAACAGAAAGGTCTTATGTCTCCGGGACACTACCACGTGTTAAAAGATGTGGTGAAAGACGTTAATGTACAAATTGTTGAACTAATTGAAGAAACAGAAGGAAAGATGGGCATTTCAGGGCGTGAAGGGGACTCATATAGTGATGAGGAACGATCAGACGACAGTAAACGCAGAAAAGACAAAGACAACAAAGCGTCTCAGGGTGGAAAAGCAGACGGTGCCTCAAGTAAGATCTTTTTCTAATTTTGAAAAAAATCTACCCACAAAAAATACATAGAATATCAACAATCTAACTGAATTGATTACAATTTCAGATGTTCACTACACATTCAATATTGGTGACATCGACGCTGGAGGAGGAGTAGTTGCCTTTGGGAATGCAGGGAATGCAAGGATAAAGCAAACGAAATAAGATTAAAAGTTCAACATTTGTAAATTTCCAAAAAGAGCATCAAACTTACGGATCAGGTCTATTCAATGCTTCTATTATTGATGTGAATCATAATAGATAGGATAACTCAGGGTGGTCATTGTTTAAGTCTCTCCAGTTGTATAATGTACTTACATGTATATTGAAATGGGTTTATATTCAGTTACAAGTTCTTTCCAGAATATCAAAAAATAGACTGAAAATGTTGGGTATTTATGATGGTTTAAAGATTTTGAGGAAGAAGTTTCTGTACATCATTGAGTATCATAGTAAACTACTTTACACTGTACTTGTTTATCAATGCAACAAAAACCTCCATTATATGTGTGTGTGTGTATGTTTTGTGTAAACTCTCCTTTGATTTGTAAAATATGAGCTTTGAAGATGAGAATTCTATCATTTTTAGATATTTCTTTTCGCTCACATTTTGAAATATCACTATTTTAAAAGGTAGTCTGGAAATCTGTATTTGCTTCAAAATGTTTTATTTTCTGAAAGTTATCATAAATTTAATCTAATTTTTTTTGTAAAGTCTTTTGTTTTATTTTGTTTTTGTTATACATTTTTTTTTGGTTGGTTGTATATGTATCTGTGGTTGTATGGGGAAATAATCTTTTCCTTTGAGAATTATTTCTAGTAATTTGAGAGCAATGTTCTTTCCCCCGCATGTGAGTTACAACAAGGTCTAAGATATCAAAATCAGAAATTCTAGATGGAAGAGTGTAAACAGAATAATCATTGAAACCATATTCTAAAATTAATGAGATTTCATTCTGTCTTCTTTTTTGTTTGTTTTGTTGTTTTAGTTGCAAAATGACAGAAATGCATCAAGCTGGCTGTTCATATATGCAAGAAAACTATAGAAATATTCTTTTCATAGATATATGTATGATAAATTTCAAGATGCAGCAAAAGAAATTTTATTGAGTCTGAACAATTAAATCATTGACTTGCATCTTTTGTCAGCATTATTTATATATGCAAATGTGAAAAGCATTTGTAATATGAGATCCAAGAATTAAACTCTAAATGTAGCATGCAAATCTGTATACCGTCATGACGAAATTAATAATTTTAGAGAAGGGCGGCTAAACTCCAAAGAGTGCATTCTTTTAGTTCAGTATTCAACATTTATAGCTAAACTACAAGTACTCATCTACAACACGTTCTAATATGCAGATCAAAGCATATGAAGTTGTAAAAGTATTATCCACACTGTATTGGTCTTCTGCAGTCACACACATGACCATATTCTGTCCCTTCTGCGCGTCATTCATCAAATTTAGAACATTTTCAACATCTTTTCTGAAATGGCTGAACCAGTTTCAACCATTTTGATGTGTAGGATCTATGTATGATGGCAAACAAAATTTTAATTTGAAGATTTTCGCCCCCCTGGGACCTTAGAAATGGGGCCAAAAAATTATAGTCTTACAAATTTTTTCTGCAATAATCCCGGGCATTTAGCAGAAAAAACTGTAAGATAGATAGATAATAAGAATTGGCACTCATTGTGAAGTTCATGACTGTAGATTAAGAGTTTAGGCTCCAGGATGGGGGAAATCAAAGATTTATTAAAAATACATTACTTCTGACTATATAGCAGGTAAACCAGTTTGCATAATTAAAAGAATGAGCAATATACCAATATTGTGAAAATCGTGTCCTCATGGTAAATGGTATACAAGATATACACAACAGCAGGTAACTAAATGTCAGTCAATTTCTATAGTATCCAATCTCAGGCTTAATTTCAGCTGATTGACAGGGGCCCACAGACCGGGTGTATGTGAAAGCGGTACTTATTTCTTCCCCCTAAAGGACCCAAGAGAGGGACCAAACTGGTATGGTATTTAAAGTTCATCAACTATGTCTATTTAAAAGCGCAGGAAACAAAACATTGGCCCCTCATTAAAAGATAAGAAGACCTAGACTTTGCAGTTGATTAGAGACAAACACAACAACTGAATGAGACAGAGAAAAAGAAACGGTTAAAAATCATTTACAAGAAAACAGAGTTAATGAAGGTCATGGCCAAAAAAGAGGAACTGCAACAATCGAAGAAGAAGATATTGAAGATGTCAACCAATTTACTTATCTTGGTAGTATCATGAACAATCTGGGGCACAGGCAAAGACATATAAGCCAGAATAAGCAAAGGAAGGCAGGCTTTTGCAATGTTTAAAAAAGTCTGGAAATCAGAATCATTATAAGAGAACACCAACATTAGAATATTTAACACCAATGTGAAATCTTCCTTTTTATGGAGTAGAAACCTATAAATTTAAAAAAGGCTGCAACTGGAAATCCAAACTTTCACAAGTGCTTGTGATACTTTTGCGGAATTTGGTGGCCAAAATCTAGAAAAACAAAAGGAGTCTCTTTTTATATGGACCAATTAAGATCAAGCCGTGGAACAGCTCAAAAGAACATGACAATGGGTAAGTCGCTCTCTAAGAAATACAGTCTCTAGAGTGGAATTCTTAGGGAAGTCGGAAAAGAAGTGTCTAAAAGAATCAGAAGATACTGGAACAATCTGCAACGAAGAAAAGAAAACATATCGCTCGAGGACGACTGTGATCGTCCTACAATGTATATATTTTACAAGAAACGATGATCATTAAGCCAACTATAAGTAAGCCAGTCATGTCTGAATATTTTTCCTTTACTCCCAGACATCTGCAATGGACCAAGTTTTCAAAGCAATGATAAACAATTAGTCTTCTGGTGGGACAACAATAGTTTGTTGAAAATTTGGAAAAAAATACTGTATTTTCGAAAAATTTCTTCTTTACTCCTGATTATCTAATAGACGAACTATTTGCATGTTTTTAAAGAGCAGTTAGCCCTCTTTCATCAGAGATTTCTGTAGAATTGCAGAATATATTTCCCTGTAATATCAGTGACAGTATAGGTTGTTAAAAGGTCACCATAGTGACAATGTTTCGAAAAAAGATTTAATTTCTGGAAACTAAGCAGTGAAAGTGTCACCAGTGTGATATTGTTTCGAGAAGAAAAAAATTATTTCTGGAAAGGAGACTATAAATGTCATCATAAAGTGATCTTGAGAGAACTCAAGTCTCAAAAGTTAAAATTCTTCTAGGTTTATCTGAACTGCCCAGCTTGGTTCAGCGAGAGTAACACTAATTGTCCAGAAATCCTTAGGGTTCAGTTATTCAAGCTCCATTGAACAGACCCTTACAAAAACGTATTATAGTTAACTACACATGTAGTTTACTATAGGTAACTATAGTAAATACCTTGATACTTTGATTTACTATGAAACTTTGCTTTAGATTTTTTGTAGGGATTTCGAAGTGTATAATCTCTTAAATAAGTAGTATTTCCATTCAACATAAAAAAAATGTGCATGCATGAAATGGAGAATATATACTACAACAATCTGAAATCCATAGTAAAATTACTTTGATTTACTATTGTGAAAACTTTTATTTACTATTAATAGTAAAAACTTGGTTACTATATAATAGTTAACTATAGTTACAGCTAACTATAGTATTTTTTGGTAGGGAATGCGTCCAAATTAGAATGAATTTTCTCCGATTCAGAGGTTATAAAACGACTCTGTATCAGGCTATGATGACTTGGCAGACAGCTGAATTAGATGAAATAGTAAAAATTAAAGAAGTTGAAATCATACTTTGTAGCTATAGATTGCAGTTGATAACCGGTTAACCGATGGTAATCGGTTATAAATTCTGTAATTCGTTAGTCGGAAAAAATAAATTAATGTGAATATTTGACCGAATTTCATGAAATTTACTTTTGGCATTTTTATAAAGATAAATTAATTTTCTAAACATTCTTCAATCAAAAGGGATTAAAATAAAGTTTTCACTCAATTTATATGACACACAGTCAGCAAAAAGATCTTTCTCTCTCTCTCTCTTTCTCTCTCTCTCTCCAAATATTTCAGTATACATGTATACGATTTCATCAAGTTAACAAGAACAATAACAGAAAATGTAACCAAAAACAAGACATAATGCTTATCTACAATAATGAGATGACAGGGAATTATATCACTTCTCAGTCCATGCACTTGTATGCATCTATCCAGCGTGTCGAGCGACATAGATCGCCTTCAGAACACAGAGACTCTACAAAATAAGAATTCTAATGAATAAATTATGTATACATATTTCTAAAATAGGTAGGAAAAACCTTAATTTAAATTTATTCTAAAATGCATTTTGTTAAAACTTAGTGCATACGGTATTTTTCCCCTCTTCTATAATTATATTTGATAGGACAGACCTGAGAATTAGACAATGGGGACAAATCAGAGACTGAAACTGGAGATCTTAACCATCATTAATTTTAAACATTGACAAATTGACAGAATAAACTGTCGTTGATTGCATATTTTAATCCAATTCAAATTCAGAACTGCCCAGTATTTGCATTTTGTGAGTGAAAGTGGATATTTTAAGACATTTTTTAAAGAAATCCCATTTGTAATAAATCATTTCTGTTTTGTAAGAATATAATTAATATTAAACGACAACACCCGCAGTAATGAATTCCATGTTTTTAAGCACATTACAAGTGTCTAACATAATTAAAGGTTTATTAATTTACTTAACTCTTTCATTTCGTTATGTTTAATTAATTACATGTCTAGACTAAAACCACAAAGTATGTTCATAAGTTGTTTACAAAAAATGTGTGAATACGTGGATAAACATCTTGAGCAACAAGCAAAGTTTATAAGCGTTGATCATGAGTAGAGTTTTTATAGTTATGGCCTCTAGAGAAATGTAATTCTTTTCTTTTTTAAAAAAAAATTCACGTTTTTGCTAAAAAAAAAAGCATACTAAACTATATATTAAATTAATCTTTAAATTTATTGCAGGTCCTTTGAGTACATTTTTTTTTGTTTTTGAGAATATTTTTTACACATGTATACTTATGATTTTAATCTTTTTTATATAATATAAAGAACAAAACCTCAAACTGATTTACGAAGAAAAAAATTTATTATAGAAAGGGTTATTCTTGTATTTTCTTTTTTAATCCTTTCGCTTTGAAGACTCTATATTAATAATTTTAGAAAGTTAAGAAACTTGTTGGGTTATTTCCTAACCCATTGACATATCTTTTCCATGGACATTTCCTTTTTGAGATCAGAAAGACAATCAATTCTATTTTTTTCTTTGTGATCGATGTAACGTCACAAGCTTTTATACCAGTAACCTATGGCAGTACCAACATTTGATACCTTTAAAGATAAACTGCTTTCTCTACATTTCATTTACAGTTTGAAAAGAGGGGAATATGAACTAACACTAAAATTGCCCAGCAATGTCTTTCTAATGATTTTTTCCCCCATCTTATTATGAAATAATGAAACTATTTCACTTACCTCTCTGTGATATAATTACTTTCGTTCATTAACTTATTTCTCCGATATCTGATAATTAAAACCTTTTTTAACTACAGTGTATTAACTATTTTTTCTTGTGTTTGGTAACTGAAACAAATCCTCACTTATGTTGAATTCCTTTTATCAACTAACTTCTGTGGAATCTGATGATTCCTTTTAACAACTAACTTCTCTGAGATTTAATTATTCCTTTTCATCAACTTTGATGATTCTTTTTATCAACTACCTTCTGAGGAATCTGATGACTCCTTTTATCAACTTACTTCTGTGAGATTTAATGATTCCTTTTATCAACTTATTTTCTGATATCCCAGGATTCTTCAATTATCAATTGACGTCTCTGTGACCTGGCAAATTATTTTTCCAACTTACTTCTGACGATTCCTTCTAACAAACTAATTTTTCTTAGACTTTTCTTTTATCAACTTATGTCTTAAAGTCCTGATGATTATTTTTGGCAACTTTCTTCTCCGAGGCCAGACGAATTCTTTTATCGATCAAATATGAAGATAACGAAAAGTAATCAAGCTCAAAGGTCCTTAGACAAATACAAATTGGGAGCAGAGCAAACACGGACCTCTAAAAAGATCAGAAGTGGGATCAGGTGCCATGGAGGAGTAAGCATCCCCTGCCGGCCGGTCACACCCGCCCTGTGCTCTTTGTCATGATCGGGAAAACGGAAAAAGCTGTAGACAATTCAATGTGTAAACAATGGCCTAACAATAAGTATGAAAACGTCAGTCAACATTTGACTTAATGATAGGTTGTATTTTCTGACAAGGCCATTGTATCGACCATGAAACTTGACTTGATGACTTTAAACGAGACGTGATATTCTTGTTTCATCAGCTTGTTTGTCAATAGCTTGCTTTGTTTTAGAAATTATTCGTACGTAGAGCATGCTCTTACATTTAGAATCAACTGGGAGAAATAAACCCCATATGCAGGTGATAACGTGTATTTCTACTTAATTAAAGGGAGTTGACGATAGAAAAGTTGAAGTCATCACATTTATCATAAAGTTTTGTAGTAAGGTTACCATTAACGTCTTTTTCCAGTAAAATATCCAAATTTGAAACACATGTGTCAGACTCTGTGGTATCTTATTTCAAGTTCACTGGGATATATCAACTCACTTCTCAGAGATCCGGCGATTCCTTTTATCAACTAACCTTTTCGAGATCTAGCGATTCTTTTCTCTGAGACCTAGTGATTCCTTTTAGAAACTTACTTACCTGGGACCTGGCGATTTCATTTTATCAATTTATTACTCTTAGATTCGGCGATTCCTTCTTTGATATCCGACGATTCCTTTTTATCTTTTTTACTTCTGGGATCTGATGATTTTTTTATCATCTTCTCTGAGACCTGGCGATTCCTTTTATTAACTAACTTTACCGAAATCTGATGACTGTTTTTATCAACTTACTTTTTTGAGATTTGATGATTCCTTTTCCCGTACACCTCATATGATGACACAAAAATCGGAGACCAAATGTATCTTTAAAGTCTGATGGAAAAACACACTTTCCATTGATTTTGCATCCTGTAAAGGGTAAGCATTATTTGTGAAGATCATTATCACATCATCTGCTACACCAACAACCGCGATGAGATTCACACCACGGGGGGGGGGAGGGGGGGGGGGAGGGGGGGGTCACGGTAAATGTATAAACCGCGTTGCCCGTACTGTACATAGTATACTTATCCTATTTTATTATCCTATTCCTACTTACCCTATTACTTATATATTACTGATCCTTACACCAGTTTGTTTCGCACGAGATTGGCATGATATATTTATATCATGTCAATCTTTTTTTTTCATTTGGATTTGATATATCATTAAGAACTTAATTCTGTATTTGATAAAAAAAAAAGAAAAGGTTTTAAAGATTATAATGTATATAAATTGTCAAAGAGGCCAAAGTGATGAATTTCCCTTTAGAAAATTAGAAAAAAGAAGAATGATAACAATAAAGCATTAAGCAGCTATAAATGGAAAGTTCTGCCCACTAAATACTTGGTTTCTTGATTCTTATTTGCAAAATGAATATCCAAAAGAATCTTATTGCTTCTAAGAATGTTCTGTAATTATTATATTTGTTGCACATGTTCAAAAGATCAAGAAAGCGGATCTTTCTCGCTCAAAACAAGATTCTATGAGAAGACACGCATAATTTAAGCTTTTTTTTCAAATAATATGTATATAAATTAATATTATTCAAATCGTTTTAAAAAAGGATATGAAAATTTAAAAATGATCATAAATCATAATTAATAGTTAATCATGAGATAATTAACTGAAATATATTTCATTTTAGTTGAGAACTTTGTGTGTCAGATGGTGTGTTTCCCTAGTACAATGTGGTATCATACGCATAACATAAAATGATCTGCGTTTATAATATACATAATAATCGATTATGATACATCAAATCAGTTAAATGAAATATTGCTCATCAAATCTAACGTTTTAATTTATTGATCACGATTTTCCAAACGGTTAAAAGCAGATGATAAAAAAGACGACTTGAAGTTCGATTTGTTTTTAGGGCATTTAATCCAAATGAGTGAATGAATGAATTTCTTGCAGTACCAGAACATCTAGATATTACTATCCGTAGCCAAGTATGCTTACATGCTTAGCTTGCATACCTAGTAAAAAGGTGTTCCATATACACTTCAAAGAAAATCTATTTGGGCATCAGAGACAATATGTGAGCTTACCTTTAGTGTGTGTCATGCTGTATCCCTTACGGTCGACAAAACATGCTGACATAATACAAGTTGTTTGGTCAATGTGTGATTCTCCAGGAAAACATTTGAATGTCCTTGATGTAATTTTTGCACACGCTACAAGAATTGAAAAAAAGACATACGAAGATTACACATAGATTCAATTCTCATACTAGCTAAAATTAGAATAAATGTCTTGTTATCCCAGACCACTGACCCTCATTAGATTTTTGGAATTTATTTCCGAAACATTTCAAGATTTGGCAAGATCCCTTCATGGCCACTGACTTCCCGTCAGGAATGATTCGTCCCTCGTACAAACAACCTTTCTCCACAAAAATACACAATTAAAATCCATATCAATTATTAACAGTTCTATTAAACAATGCTAAATCAAACTTTTTTCTGTACATAAAAACATACTTACCAGTTCTGTCCATAGTTGTCTGGGATTTGTCGTGGAATACACTGTATGGTGTTACTTCTCCAAAATATCCAAAAATGGTCAAAAAGTACACTACAAATGTATCAGAGATCTTCTGCATTGTCGTTGGTGTTTCGATAAAAATCTAGAAAAAGAATACATGTACATGTAGTTGTCTGATAATTGTAAATAAAATTACCTTATTCGAAGTAAGCTTTATGGTGTTAATTCATAACATCCATTGTTGCAATAGGGTGTTAAGATTTGCATTTTAATTCCCTCATACAAAAGTTGACAGCATATTTTGAAGCATTTTTCAAATTGGCTTACCTAAGAGAATCCAATATATGCTGTCGTTTGAAGGAAATCTCTCAGACTTAAATATAACTCCGATATGACATCACTCAAGGACAAGTAAACGTACCTGACAACTTCATAACAAGCAGCGGAAACTCTTAAATCAGTCAAAGATGGAGATAATTACATTTCCGAAATATGACTTTACGAAGACCACCGGAAAATAATAGGTAATCTCCATAATTTCCTATATCATACTTGAATTCAATACACTACTAGTACATGTATCTAAATACAGAGATATATATATTCTGCAATGCTGTATCCATTAACGAAATGTTTCTTTGCAAAAAAAAAAAAAAAAAAAAAAAAAAAGGAAAGCATCTTTACTTTTTTGTTGTTTTTAATATTTGTCCAGCAGAGCTGCCATGCTCTGTTAAACTTAAAAGTAATTGTTGTCACTTCAATTTTCAACAGGCATGTTGGACTAAGCATACAATTAAATTGACTTTTAGTGCGTGACCGTGACAACTATAGTAAAAATTAATTTAATTAATGATGTGCAATTTCATACACATTGACAACGTCATTTATTAGGTGGCGTTAAAGTCATTAATTTTACATATTATGTCACTCTTTCAGTGATAAACTACGGACAAAAACTGCCTTAATTGATGTTTATAGTCCCTTTATGGTATTGTTAAAGATTAACAGTGACAAAAGGGGAAAAAAACATGATTTTTTTTAAAACTGCACAATAAATAAACATCTTCGTAAATGTCTGGAAAAATGTTTGTGGTCAAACATTTTTTTTTTTTTGCGGAAAAACTAGATTCTAAATTCTGTTGCGTCAGAAGTCAAAGATCAAGGTGTGCATGTACTTCTATTCATTAAATGATCATTTTTAAATTATAGGGTTGTTTTCAAAGGTTTGAAAACAACAATTTGAGGATTTTAAACATTTTTTGCTGTTAATAAATGATATGAAACAGAAGACCGATAGGACACAGGCTTATCTGAATCACCGTCCTTCCGTGACATATTGAGTCTGTACACGTAGCTAATTAAGACACTTATTGTGGACAATCACATTTTAAAGTTCATGATTTCAACAATTCTAATTTTTGGTATATTGAGGTTTAATGTCAACTTTACAGGTTGTGCCCTCTCATTCTCGACCTCGTCAGTGTCGATATATTTCTGTAAAAACTTTTTGCTCAATTATGGCTCCAACTCAGCTCCTGAAGTCATTCTTTGAACAAACTTGAATCTACATGTACATTACATGCACATTACATGGAGATACATGCATATCGATGCTTTACGATATGATTAGCTGTGGCCCTGCTGAAGAATCTTTTATTTAGATTTTTATCATGTTTGTATATTTTTCCAAAATTACTTAAATCCATCCAGCGACCCTCCTTAGCGACCATGCTTGAACAAAAGTAATTCTACATTAAATGAAGATGCATAGATATTCATATGACATGTCTAAGTAACATGTGTAGAAAATTAGACGTATATCAATTGTTGAAAGCCAATATATCATCGATGTCACTTTAATTTCAATATAAATCTATCTAATGCTCATCATTAAGTCCATTAAAAAACGTTAATGCTGATATTACATAAAACTTACAAAACATGAAAACGTGTATTTATATAATAAACTTCAATTTATAGAATACAAATTTTGTTAATATTAAAAAAATTGAAGAGAAATTTGTTATTTTTAAATGAAGGCAATGTTTGAACTGTGTATTTAATTAATTACATTTTGAAATTAACTATAAAAAAGCTATTGTAATTCATTGAATTTCTTTTTCAAAGCAATATGTCCTATACTTGACTCAAATTTGAAATCTTGTTTCAAAAGGAATCTTCTTCGTTAGTTGTTTATTCTTTATTTCACGCTCATTTATCAAAAGGAAAATTAATAAGATGACTCAATAAATATAATAAATGTATCAATGACACAAAATAAACTTCAAACCTGTCTTCTTAAATCAATTGTGCTATTGATCAAGGTTTTGTCTTTTTGTATGTATAATTCTCAGTTAATTCGAATTCTGCATAAAAGATTTTAAGTCATTAAGTAAATTAAGTGTAAGAAGGGGAGCAATTAATTATTTTCAATATTTGAATAACAAATTTATTTATTTCTACTTCCTTGATTTGTAATCAGACAGAACTGTTATTCGGGAGAATGTCTACAAGGATTCAATTCATCCCAGAAATTCTTTGCGTGAAACATTTAGTGCTTGTTGTTATGTGGGAATTTTTAAGATTTCGTTTGTTTGCTAATTTTTCATATTTAAAACAACTTTGTGTAATTTTGTGTTTTGCAATCCAATTTTTTTTAAAATATCAACTTGAATTTCAATATAAATCGAAAAATATTATAATTCCCAAGAATCTAAACTGCATCTGTGATGCATCATAAACGTCTCATATTCAATGCTTTATATTGAATGTTATTCACTTGTAAAGGTCTACATATTCATTGTTTGATCTACACGTATATTTGCTCGATATCAGAAGGATTCATACCTTCAATGTTGTTACTACATACAGTTTTTGATCATAATATTACAAATTTTAAAAATACGGAGATAACGAACAGTATTCAAGCCCAAAAGTCCATTCAAACAATACAAATCAGGAGCAAAGCAAACATCAAAAATGAGATCAGGTGCCACGGAGGAGTGAGCATCCCCAGCTCATTGTCATGATCGGGAAAACGGAAAAAGCTGTGGACAATTCAGTGTGTAAATAATGGCCTAACAATAAGTATGAAAATTTCAGTTAACATTCGACTTCATGATAGATTGTACTTGCTGACAAGGTCATTGTATCGACCATAAAACTTGACTTTATGACTTTAAACGAGACGTGATATTCTTGTTTCATCAGCTTGTTTGTCAATAGCTTGCCTCGTTTTAGAAATTAATCGTACGTAGAGCATGCTCTTGTGTGTCGAATCAACTGAAAGACATAAACCCCAGATGCAGGTGATAAGGGTATATTGCTTCATATGTAAAGGAAGTTGAAGATTGAAAAGTTAAAATCCTGATGACCAAAGCTTGGTTGTTAGGTTAGCATTAACGTCTTTTTTCTAGTAAAAATATCCGAACATGAAACAGATGTATCACACTATGTGGTATCTTTTATTTCAAGCTCACTGGGATATATCAAGTCGACATATGAATGGAAGTAACTATTGTTAATTATGTTCCCCAAACGGAGTTTGGGAACATATTGTTTTTACTCTGTTTCTTATTATTATTATTATTATTAAGGTCTTCCGTTTCAGACGGAAGACCTTATAGTGATTCTACTGTTTATTATTATTATTATTATTTTCCCGTTTTTTGTCCAAGCGATTTCTCAGAGATGGCTCAATGGATTTTCTTGAAACTTTCAGGGATTATGACAAATTAAATAAACTAAAAACATTTTGAAGGATTTTGCAAAATCCACTTCCGGTCGTCAGATATGTCCGATTTCCGTTTTTTCAAAAGAGTTCATGTCCGGACGTTTTCTCAGAAACGGTAAAAGATTAAGACACCAAACTTTCAGGGATTATAGATCATGACAAGTACGTTTGTAGAACATGTTTAAATCCGTGAGTCGTCACTTCCGGTCGTCACAGGAAATGATCAAATAAATCGAAAATTTCAACTTTTCTTATTTTAATTAAATCTTGCATCACATTATTGCATCTGTTTTGCAGTTTCGAAATATGTTGGTTCCACCAGAAACAGAAACGTCAACTTCCGGTTATAAGCGAAAAACTACATAATTTGAGTATTTCAATTTCCCATAAATATCGCTTATAGATGAAGTATGTGAAATGATTTTAAGATATGTTATTTAGACTGCAAATGTCTAGAGTAACGTCAAATATCTTGGTAAAATTCACTTCCGGTCGCGTGTTTTACTGTCCGCAAAATAAGAACTTGTCAAAGTGAGATCTCAGAAACGGTAAGAGATTAAGACACCAAACTTATGTAAGTAATAGAACTTAATGAGTAGGCAAAATCTTTTGGGTTAATAGCGTCAGCCGTCACTTCCGGTCGTTACAGGAAGTGATCAAAGAAATCAAAAATTTAAACTTTTCTCTTTTGAAATAAAACTTGCATCATATAATTGTATTTCTTTCACAGTTTCAATATGTGTTGGTCTCACTGGAAACAAAAAACGACAACTTCCGGTTATAAGAGAGAAACTATGTAATTGGTATTTTTAACTTTCCCAAAAATATCACTATTGATAAAGTTTTTGAAATGATTTTTACATATGTTATTGAGACTACAATTGTTTAGTGTGAAGTCAACAATCTTAGGAAAATGCACTTCCGGTCGCGTGTTTTTCTGTCCTCAAATTGAGATTTTGTTCACCTAATTGCTCAAAAACAGTACATGACTGAAGTCTAAAACTTTCAGAACTGATAGTCAGTCCTCAGTTTATCTACATCATGTGAAAATCGTACGTTGCCGTCACTTCCGGTCGTGACTGGAAGCGACGAAAGAAAGTGGATTTTTAAAGGTTTTTTTTTCTTTTTACAGAAATGTTTGGCTAATGCGGATGTTAGATAGACCATAACCATGCAATTTATTTTCAGCGGAAGTGCCAACCAAAAAACCGGAAGTTGTCTCAAACATGAGTAGTTTTTCATGGAAACTTTTAGGGAGGATCAGATATGAATAATTTAAGTGTAGAATGAACATTTTATTCGTTTGGAGTACTTTTGTTCACGACGAAGTACATAAAGAAAACAGGAAAGTATATCCGTTTGTTTTTATTTGTATTTACATATCTTTGGAAGCCTTGAGATAACTTTTGTTAATTATTTAGAGTAATTCTGTTGACAAGATTGTGTTTTGTTTTTTTTTTCTCGAAGAAGTCAAGAAAACGGAAGACCTGTTATTGCCTAGGCAATAAGTATCTAGTTATTATTATTAAGGTCTTCCGTTTCAGTCGGAAGACCTTATAGTGATTGTACTGTTTATTATTATTATTATTATTATTTTTTTCCCATTTTTTGTCCAAGCCATTTCTCAGAGATGGCTCGATGGATTTTCTTGAAACTTTCAGGGATTATGTAAAATTAAAAAAACTAAAAACATTTTTAAGGATTTTGCAAAATTCACTTCCGGTCGTCAGATATGTCCGATT